CTCACTGATTGGTTGCTAGAGGTTACAGCACATCATTACCACTCACTGATTGGTTGCTAGAGGTTATGTCACATCATTACTGCTCACTGATTGGTTGCTAGAGGTTACAGTACATCATTACTGCTCACTGATTGGTTGCTAGAGGTTACAGCACATAATTTTCACTCACTGATTGGTTGCTAGAGGTTACATCTCATCATTACTACTCCCTTATTGGTTGCCAGAGGTTACAGTACATCATTATTGCTCACTGATTGGTTGCTAGAGATTACAGCAGATCATTGTTGTTCGCTGATTGGTTGCTAGAGGTTAGAAAACATCTTTACCACTCACTGATTGGTTGCCAGAGGTTACAGTGCATCAATATTGCTCACTAATTGGTTGCTAGAGGTTACAGCAGATCACTAATGTTCACTCACTGGTTGATAGAGGCAGGGCCAGTGCAAGGATTTTTGTCTACATTTGTCTTTGCATTTTGCTGCCCCCCAACCACTGTCCTCTCAGGCGTGGTTGAATTAAAATGAATATTGGGCATGGCTTAATACAACGTAGATTTTAAATAGAAACAATGAAGAAATCTGAGATTTAGCCTAAACTAAATTCACCAACTATACACATAGTCCCTCGTTCCCCTAAACACTATCCTTCTCTACACACCGCTCAACCATCTGTACACTGCCCCTCTTTTCGTCTACAAACATTGTCCACTGTCCACTCTGTTCTACCCCCAACCCCAGTCCCCTGCACATATTGCCCTCTTCCTCCCACTGGATATATATTGCCCCCTCTGTGTAAACACTGCTCCATACATTACACCCTGCAAACATGGGGGGGGGTTAATTGATAAGTTCACCTTTTAACAAAAAAAAATAAATGCACATTTTTTTACAGGTAAAAAAAAATTGCATTTACTATTTTTGTTTTAGAAACCCAGAAAGCAGTGCACCAGCTGATCGCCTGTTACCATCCAGGTCTCCTGCAGACTATCGGTGTATGCTATACGATGTATGGGCAGGCAGTTTGACACTGACAGAAAGAATCAGTGAACTACCACAGTGCTCAACAGCACCATGGCAGTTAATTGAAACTTAAAAGGCGACATCACACCTGTCTTCAGCCCTGCAGAACATCACACCTGTCTCCCCTCTCCCTGTCCTGCAGAACATCACTCCTGCCTCTGCTCTCCCTGCAGAACATCACACGGGTCTCCCCTCTTCCTGCCCTGCAGAACATTACACCTGTCTCCAGCCATGCAAAACATCACACCTGTCTCCAGCCATGCAGAACATCACACCTATCTTCAGCCCTGCAAAACATCATATCTGTCTCCTCTCTCTCTGCAGAACATCACACCTGTCTCCCCTCTTCCTGCCCTGCAGAGCATTATACCTGTCTCAAGCCCTGCAAAACATCACACCTGTTTCCAGCCCTGCAAAACATTACACCTGTCTCCCTTCTCCTAGCCCTGCAGAGCATCACACCTGCCTACCTCCTCCCACCCTTGTCTCTCTCCTCCCAGCCCTGCAGAGCAACATAAATGTCTACCTCCTCCCAGTCCTGCAGAGCACCACATGAGAGCAGGGATATTTTGCAGGGCTGGGAGAGGGGAGACAAAGCACTGTCAGTAAAATAAGGAACTTGCCACAGTTCTTATCTTGCTGCTGGGCCCCCCATCCCATACCACAAAGCTCTTAAATTCAGACCCACTTCCACATGGCTGTAAAAGCTCTCAGTCGGAGCTCTGTTCTTTAGCAGCCCAACTAGCCTCTCCACCTGCAGGACAAGGTAGGGCCTGCAGCAAATCAGGAGAAAGGGACAAGGCTGAGTCCGGAGCAGGAGTATGTTAACAGTCAGAGCAGAGGATCAGGTTGTCCTCCGTCTTGTCAGCCCGACTAAGCTGACACACCACATGCTCTCTCTGTAGCATGGTGCTGGAATCCCTGCTCCAGACTTTCCTGGGCAGCACCGGTTGAAGCGGCAGCTGCTTTTAGCCCTACAACAATGCCAGGGCCCAGGGCAGCTGCCCCTTTTGCCCTGAGCTAAAGACGGCCCTGTCTGCCAATACAGGAGACACTTGGAAGATGGCCCAGCAGAAGCCCCCATGCAGTCAACACAAAGAAGATTTTGGTTCAAAACTATAAAAAATCACTCTCTGAAGTAACTGCTCAGATTCTCTTAAATGTGCAGTCGTGGGTATATTTATAAACCAATGAATGTGATATTCACCAAATATTCATTGCAGGTCTATGTGTTAATGATTCACCTACAGTAAATGTTTGATAAATGTTACATTCACTGCTATAAATACTGTATTTACTTTTCTCCTTTAAAATATTTTTTAAAACTTTCATTCTAAATATTTGTTTTAGAGAAAAATTATGGACCATGTTGTATATTAATTTAGAATAATAACATGTATTTAAAAGGAAACACAATTGAAACACAATATTTGAAAATAAATATACTAAGTCAATAGTATTTTCTATCTGTTTGTCGTGTTTCTGGAAAATAGATCATTTAATGTGGCACTTTCATCAGACTTTATTTTAAAACAGTTACAAAAGCCATTTACTCTATAGATCAAGAGACCTATAAACAACTAGTCCATACCTTTATATTCCCTCATCTCACCTAGTACAAAATGTCTGGTATTCCACTAACAACGCTCACACCTCTAGAGTCTATTGCAAACTCTAATTCTACTGTGGACTGTTTATATCTATGTATCTGGGTAGAGTTGTGATTGTTAGGCAAGTGCATGGTCATGTGTCAACCTGCAATTCCTTTATGGTGTAAATAGAATTAACAGTCATTGATCAAGACTTGATTATACCTGTTGACGGATGAATGAAAATGTATATGTAATATGTTGCCATTGGCTTTCATAGGTCCCCCAATGCATTAAGATGCAGAAAAAGGATTGCGATGGAAACAGATGTTATTTTTGGGAAATTTGGACGCATGCATTTTAGAGCAGTGCAGCACATGCCTTAATGTTCAACAGTGTAAATTGGCCCTTTATGTTTCTCTACACTCTTCTCTTGCTTTTTCTCTCTGCAAATCTTTATTTTAGCTTCCCATCAACAGATTCATGTTACCATGTTTTTGCTTTGAAAACACGGTACAAATCACCCTATCTACTCTGTTTCCCCGAAAATAAGACCTACCCCAAAAATAAGACCCAGTACTATTTTTTTGGGAATTGCTGAAGTATAAGACCTACCCTGAAAATAAGACCTAGTTGTGATCAGCTGTTTGACCACCTCTGGCACTGGCCCTGTGTACACCAATATCTACTGTCTCCTATAAACACAGAAGTGCGGCTTTTGTATTTCCAAGTGACAATCCCTCTTGTAAGTAACAGAACCATCTGCTCCCTCAGAACCCCCCTACCTCTGTACTCACTGTAGGTCATGGAAGGAAAAGATATCTGAGGGTGCAGTGTGTTTACGGGTTGGAGCGGGGCAACTCATCCTGCAGCCTAATGCATGGAAGCCAATGCCCCAGGGGTGATCACTGGCCATTGAGGAAGAGGCAGAGTGGTGAGTGCGCTTGGTGCACTGTGTGGGAAGATAGGACCTGAAGCTCACTTCTGCATCCCCTGTCTGCAACTCACCCCTGCACCCTGTCTGTGGCTCATCTCTGCACCCTCTTTGAAACTCACCTGTCAATTCACCTCTGCAACACCTGACTGCAGCTCACAACTGTCATCTGTCATCAGCCGGCCCTCTCTATAGTAACCCTCATCCATAACTGCCTGCAGCTCACCTCTGCACCCCCTGTCCCCACCTGGACATTAAAAAAAATAAGACCTACCCCGAAAATAAGATCTAGTGTGTTTTTTTGAGCCAAACAAAATATAAGACTGTGTCTTATTTTCGGGGAAACACGGTATATTTAGACTTTACACCTCAAAATTTTTCATTTAACAGCCCACTCCACTCTTCCACCGATGTGCTTATGATTTCCTCACTCATATTTTCATCTGATGCATGACTTCAGGACTTTCCAACATCCCATATGCTGTTTACTGAAAAGTTTTCATACCTTTTTTGAGCAGATAGTTAAAAAGATATAGATGTAAATACATGTTTAGTTCACATTTAGCTTAGTTTCTAGTCAAAATGTATATAAGGTTTCGTTATATCGATTTGCAGAACATTTTTAGCATAGCTAATTTAAACTATTTCTATGAAAACCGAGTGCCGATGATGTATAAAATGCTACTTTTAGCACAACTAAACTGCACACACTTTACCCCCAAAATGTGGCCCAATCAGGCACACTTACATAGAAAGGGTACTCATGTTGATAGGGACAGGGACCTCTTCCCCACAACCCTGGCCATTTGTTGTGAGGGTCTGCAGGCAGGGAGATTATCAGAATCTGGAAGCCCTCTTTTATAATAGGGGGATTTATTCACCATTAGGATTTTATTTTTTTGCTATTTTGCATTTTCTTATAAAATTTGGCAAATATAAATAATATTTCTTCATAAATCTTGACCACAAATGTATTCAGCTATCTTTCTAGTAAAAATAAATAACCCAAATTAGTTTATAACCAAAAATTATAACTTTTCAAACTTTTTTTTACATTTTTATTTTTTTTTATATTATTTATGTTTTTTTTTTTTTAACATACTGTCACCCTAGCAGTACAGTGTCACAATAGTGACACTTTACTACTTGTGGGGGGTGATGAAGATTTTTTTTTCTTTTTTTACACTGATTACTTTTACACCCACACAGGCTGTAAACGCAATCATTTCTATTTCTCACTGGCTGCATTCTTGCAGCCATTGAGAAATACTGTGAGAGCTGTGATTGGTCACAGCTTGTCACATGGTACAAGGCAGTTGTGAATAGCCTTGTACCATATGACCTCTGTGATCATTCATATATTTCGCAAGTAGTAAGCAATGATGTCAGAAAGTGACATTGTTTACTACTGCATGTGATCACTAGTAGGCCAATCAGTGATCACATGAATCAGGACCTCACACAGAGGTCCTGCACAGTGATCGGGCAGGTGTCGAGCTCTCCCAGGGAGTGCGCACAGGAAGTGAATACGGGTGATGATTAGAAACATCAACCGCTTCGGCAGCACTCCCATCCAGCCATTTATAGACGGGAAGTGGTTAAAAAAGGGTAAAAAAGTATTCTTACTACATATTCTCCAGAGGTGTGTTGACATTAAAATGTGTCTACACCCATCTTTTTTACTGTATCGTATTTATTAACAGCTTAGCAAAATACTTGAAATGAGCAGAACTTTTATTGTCTTGGTTCAGATCTGTCCAGCTATATTATGCTATTGAGGAGTTATTGCCTTTAATACAGTCCTAATTGTTTAAATCCTTCCACATGTGGCACAATACTTAAATCAGGAAGACCAATAATATGCATTTGTTTTTTCTGGAATTTTTTTTATTCTTTTAATCAGTTTCTATGCAAATAGTACTTCTTTATTCCCTGCATAAATGCATCCTCAACTAAGTGAGTCTTTTTCTGTGGGGCCACATATATGTACTGCTGGGTTTGTGCTGAGAGCTCACTGCAAATCAAACTCCCACCAAGCTCTCAACGAGAGGTCTAGGTCTCGTACTAAAAATCGTGAACTGGGAGGCTTGGTTCCTGATCACCTGATTGCTGTGATAGCATCTGATTGGCTATCACAGTGATCAGTCCTGTACAGCCCATGCCTGTTTTTTCTCCTCTTGGATGGAGAAAAAGATACATTTGGGTTTGATTAGCTAAAACGGAAGTGTGATAAATCTGGTGCAGCTGTGCGTGGTAGCCAATCAACTTCTAACTGCAGCTTGTTCAGTTAAGCATTGACAAACAAAAGGGAAGTTGATTGGTTTCTATGCAGAGCTGCACCAGATTTTGTACTCTTCAGTTTTAGTAAATCAACCCCTTTGGGTCTTTTTCACCTTGCTAGATGAGAAAAGCATAAACAGCAACAAATGAGTGTAAAAGATAATAATAAAGAAAAAATAGTAAGATCAGGGTTTGGTGTGGGTCAGTGTTGGGGTTACCATTAGGTTCAAGGTTTGGGTCAAAGGTCACGGCCAGAGTCAAAGGCTGAGGTCAAAGGTCAAGATCAGTGTATTTAGATAGGATTTAAAAACATTTTTTTAATTTAATATCAGTGTCAGTCAGTGCCAGTATGTTTTAAGTAGATAAAAAATGTAAATGTGCAATAATGTTTCTGGGCCTTACTACAACATGTACAAACAAATAACATACATATATGTGGTATTTCTCTGGTCATTAGGAGCACGAGAAATTATTTTGATTTGTTCTTTGTTGGTAGACTCAGGTACTAACAAGAATCATACAGCTAAAATTGAAAAAAAAAAAAAGTAAACAAATATATTTTTTTTTCACTATTGTGTGCCAGTTTTCCTTTGATATTATAAAAGAAAAATAATCAGGAGATATTCATTAATATTTATCACCAAATGAAAGCCAAATTTGTCCTGAAAAAATATAGAAATGATAAATTATATAAAGTATATTCACCTGGATGCACAAAGCAGTTGTGATGAAATGTACAGTTTTACTAAAAGTTGCAAAACTATGTTCAGGATTTTTTTTTACTCTCAGTTGTGAAGGAGTTAAAAGATTTTAACAAAACAAAGCACCAGAAAGTCATTGTTTTTTTTTTTTTTTTTTTTTATTTTTTAAGCATCTGGTATATCTGTATAGCTCAGGGTAGATTTTACTTTAACTCCTTCATGGAAATTCAATGCTTTTTGGAATGTAACTGCAGGCCCATTTGGCAGGGAACAGCTAGCTAAATAAAATCACCAGTGCAACACTTGAATAATACTGTTTTGTAATCTCTATACTACCTTAGAAAGAAAACATGGGAAGTCAGTTACAAGTCATGCATGCATATAATCTAATGAGCTAGTTTGGAAGGAATCCAGGCCTCTCTTGTTAGCTCGGCAGGTGAAACTGCTTTTTTTTTTTTCTTCCTATGGAAACAAAGTCAGCATGTGTCCTTTTCTCTATTCTGCCTGCATCTGTCAGCACAATTGTTATAGCTATGATGGCAGATTATCCATGATGGCAGATTATCCTAAGGTTAGCACTGAAACACTCCACCCATTAAGGAAGTCAGTGATATATTTGTAATCTAAACGAAAGGCCAGGTTTCAAGACAGGCATCAGTTGATAACTTGCTATTAAGGCTTTATAAATATACAACATTAAACAAATGCTTTATTTTTTTACTGTGGTCTGATGCCCAGAATTTAAAATATAGGTTTCAATTAAAGTGAACTTTAAATGAGCTTTCCATTACTTAAAAGTGCTGTTTTTAAACGCACTGTAATTTGAATTCAGGGGTTGCCATCTGTTTTTGAGCAAAGAGCCAGGAGAAAAGTATGTACATCGCATGGGGGATTTGTGATTCTGAGCACCTTTTCTGATGTTTATGTTTAAAATCAACGTCAGTATAAATGTGATAGATACTACATTAAAGGGTCACAAAACACAATAAATTGTATACTTATGTATTTAGATGTCTACGTTATTTATGTAATAGTTTTCACATACACATTTGTAAATGTTCAGGCAGTTTATGGATGTTCATTTATTTCAATGGCAAGTATAGGTTTAGTGCAATGGAGAAAAACATTCTGAGCACCAGTCAAGTGATTCAATAGGTGACAGCAACACAATTACGTGTATTTGTAATCTACTACGTAAGAACATTCCTATGAGTGATATTATTATTGATATTATTATTATTATTTTATAAGTTTGTAGAAACACCATATTTAAATAAGCTAATATCTCCCAACTCTGCGCTTATGAAAACTGAACAAAAATTCAATAAATGAAAAAACAAATGAAATAAATGTGCATGCATTAAAACACCTTAAAATATATCCAACTGCTGCTATAATATCAAACCTAAATTAAAACAAAAAAGAAATGAATGAAAATAAAATGTTCTACATGCACAGCAGTATGTGGATTTTTTTTTCATTTTTTCACATACGCTTTTCCAAAGGTCGAATAAGTTATTTATTTATTGGTAAGTTCATTCCATCACCCATTCCAATCACCCTTGTCTATGTGGTTGTAGGTGTTTGTAAGACAGAGATGAGAGTGGTTAGTTGTATTAGGTTTCGTTTGCTCTTGAAAGTAGGGGGGGGGGCATATTTTTGCCACCCTCCAACTGCTCCCTTAAGCTTCAAAGACAGTGGATAGGGGTGTACACATGCCATGGCCAGGATGCTTTGTTTCATGGCTATGGCAAGAATTAAACCCCCATTGAAGGCAGTATCCCCCACCAAACACAACCCATGCAAGTGGATGGAGCAACGCCTGCATCTGTGGTTGCAGAGTCATGCTGCAGACTTTTGTAGGTTAAAACAGGCAGTGAGGAGGTGACTTAATGCCTCCTCACTGCCTGTAAAATGCCCTATGAAGAGTGATCCACTATAGATCATTCTACAGATGGCTAGCTAATGCTAGTGTAAATGACCCCCTATTCATTTACATCAAAACAGGGGTTAGTTTACTAAAGGAGACTGTTTACTTAGGAAAATAAATTATGACCACTTGACAACTGGGCTATAGCAGAATGACGGCTACGCACGGTCGTCTAGTTCTGGGAGGGTGTCATATGATGTCCTCTAGAACAGCGCCTCATGCGCGCCCCTTGGGGCCCGCATCTGGTGAGCTCTGTGATTGCTGTGTCCATCCGAAACACAGCTGATCACATGACATGACAAAGGGCCAATCACAGCAACCTTTTACCATGTTATCAGCTGTGTCCAATGACACAGCTGATCACAATGTAAATACAGTTGCCAGTTATTGGATGCACTTTCCTCATGCTGTCACAGTGTGAGGAAAGAGGAGAACCGGTAATCGGCAAATGTACTTAAAGAGCTCAGAGGCAGTCCAGTGCAGCCCCAAGCCCCAACAGTGTCCATCAGTGCTGCCAGTCAGTGTCCATCAGTGCTGCCAGTCAGTGTCCATCAGTGCTGCCAGTGTCCATCAGTGTTGCCAATGTCCATCAGTGTTGCCAGTGTCCATCAATGTCTCCAGTCAGTAATCATCAGTGCCGCCAGTCAGTGTCCATCAGTGCCACCAGTGAGTGTCTATCATTGCCACCAGTCAGTGCTCATAAGTGCTGCCAGTCAGTGACACCTATCAGTGACCTTCAGTGCTCCATATCAGTGCCTATCAGCACTGCCTATTGGTGCCCATCAGTCACAACTATCAGTGCCCATCAGTGACAACTATCTGTGCAGCCTTGTCAGTGCCTCCTCGTCAGTACCCATCAATGCAGCCTATCAGTGCAGCCTATCAGTGCCCACCAGTTCTGCTTATTTACTGCAGCCTCATCAGTGCCACCTCATCAGTACCCATCGGTGCAGCCTATCAGTGCCCATCAGTGCAGCCTCATCAGTGCACATCAGTAAAGGAGAAAAAATACCTGTTTACAAAATGTTTTAATGGAAACTAAGAAAACTTTTTTTTTGCAAAATGTTTAGTCTTTTTTCATTTATTTAGCAAAAAAATTAAAAAAACTAGTGAAAAATTATACAAATTTCTATATGGGTACAGTGTTGCATGTTCGTGCAATAGTTATTCAAAGTGCAACAGCACTGAATGCTGAAAATTGGCCTGGGCAGGAAGGGGGTGAAAGTGCCCTGTAGGCTAGTGGTTAAATGTTAGTGAAAAGGTGACGTTCTGGTTATTTTAATGCTCAATAATATGCAAGAGAAATTGATAAAACAATATAGTTTTCTTTTTAGGGACTTGATTGGGTTTTTAAAGTGAACACCTTCACTGTTTTCACACTGCAAAGTGAACAGACACTTTGCTATGGGAACTGCCTCCATATTTTCAGTCTGTCAACCTTATATTGTTCATGACAGTGGAAAGAAAAGTGGTGACGTAATATGGAAGTAACTTTTCCATACAACATGAGTACATAGCACTCTACTCTCCTCTACATCACTATATAGGGACTGAAGTAAAATTGTCTTGTTGTCAATTGGCTTTCAATGATCCTTTTTTGCATTCCAGCAT